ATGACTTTTAGTTAAATCAGGAGTGGAACAAGATTTTAAGAGAAGGGTATTTCTGCAGTAAGATAGTGAGCTGCCCAGCTAAATAAGTGCACACACCATTTCAATGACGAAGGCTGCAAAAAATTAAACTTTATATTCTAGGTAAAGGAGTCATCTTTTAATACATTTATTGGTCCATTCCATTAAATTAATTGAGGTAAACAAACGGTGCATTTTAAAAAAATGTACACACTAATAGAGAATTACAAACAGTTTTACCTCAAAGTGTTTTTCTCCATCAATACTAGTTCCATAGTAAACAATGCACAAAGTATATTTATACAGAGATATATGAAAGGGTATAGAAACATGCCAGCACCAGAAGGCAAGACAACATTTCATAGCCTGCAAGTCTGAACAAGAGCACAGTTGCCAGATTTGGTCAAGTGCAGGAAACAAAAGTCTCCTTCCCATTTTTACATTGTTTACTAGCTAATTCACACAGAGACAAGTCTTTTTGCAGCTTTCATTTTGGTTTTTAATGATATGAACAGTGACTCTAGTTCCAGTGAGTGGGTCTACAGAGGTTGAAAGCAGAAGAGTCTGGGCAACAAGCCAGCACCATTTTGGTCCCCAGAACTGACACCTTCAACATGGAGGGGAATGAGATCCACCTCCGCTCACAGCCAGCTTGCCTTCACCCACACAGCCCAACTCTCCAAACCTTAAGGAAGGACAGAGGGATGCAGGCACAGAGGAAAAGAGAACAAGGACAGTGCTGCTTTATTTTCATACATTAAAGACAAAAGCCCTTTGGCTGTCTGCTATTGTGAGACTGTCCTTCTGCAATCTGTCTCCCTGTGCAGTGGGAATGTGGCACTAGCCCCAACCCTGCTGCTTGATCTTAAGGTATGGATACATATCCCACCAGCAGAGTTAAGAAAATGGTCTAGCTTCAAAGCATAGAGTATCGAGGCCTTCAAACCAGTCTAGAACAGCGACTAGCCTTTAATGTTTTAGCATGCCACTTACATAAGGGTGATCTACTTATGCCTTTTTGGAAAGTGCGTTATTTTCTGCACAAGTACTGTGCCTTAGCCCAGTTCATTACTGAGTACTCGTACAAGTCAGATACCCCAGCCAGACTCCAAAGTGCTAAGCATAGAATTAAGCATTGCCATTTTATTCCATAAAATTGGTTAAACAGCACTCCCAAAAAGTTTAAAATGCAACATTCACACTGCCAGAAGGCAAGTTTATTCCTGTGATCCCCAGTTTTACTTTACAAAAAAAAAAAAAACATCAATAAATCTGGCAAGTAGTAGCAAGTTCCCTGCCTTAAAAAAAAGACCCCATTTTCCCTATTTATTGGTTGCTGTAGCAAAAGTTAATGTACGAAGGGAAAGACTGTTCTACCTTCAGAATTTAAGAAGGCTGAACATCTAATGAGCTATTTAGTCTATGCAATTTTGCTCAGTGGTTATCAGCACCAGGATGTTAAACAGTCTGCAACGTTAATCATACTCAGTTAAATTGTGCAAGTTTTAACAAAAGCATGGCTCCTGTTAAAACCCTGACCAGTCCCTGGTGGGCTGGAAGGGAATTCTTTTGTACCTTAGCATCTGCAGGACCGACACCTGAAGCAATATGCATCACAAACAGGCTATGCAGAGCCACTGCTGCAAGGCCACCTCACAGTACCTCTGCAGGACCACCTCTGCCACTCATGCTTTGCGGATGTTTCTTTCTACCACTTACCTTACTACTCTATCCTTAGCACAAGCGTCAGTGTGACAAAAATCCAAGCAGCAGACTTTAGTGAAGAATTCATAGTTTATTCTTCGATACAAGTCATATGAGAAGGGTTCGTGTCTTTAGGGCTACACCTATTACCTTTTCATTTTTCAATGGATACCTGAAAAAGCCATGATGTTTCAACATCTATATTTATTGCAAGAGTCAGAACCTGGTAAGGATACATATTAACAATGCACACTTCATTACCAAGCATGAAACCAAGATCTCAGTGCTTGCTTTATTGTGCTGGTGCCAGTTAAGAGAAAAAACAAACATCCCAGAAATTACACAGAAGTAACCAGGACAGCAGTGAATTATGCATCCTCTGAGAGGGAATTTGGTCTGGCTATGGATTACAAGGAAAACTGGGCTAATTTAAGGACTGTTGAAGGACCCACATGTTACATAGGTTTAGAAAGGGTGCAACTACTTTTGACATCATTTTAGTGCATGTGCAGAGGGTGATCTTCAGTGACTGAACACTCAAGAAGTTACTCAAAGATGAAGCTCCTGCACTACTCCTGCTTCCCTTTACCAATGCCTTTTACTTTTCACACTTAAGGTTTGGGCCATCCGAAGGAGAGAATCCTATCCTGTAAGGATTACAGGATAACATGTCAGAATTTCATTAACAGTTCAGATCTCAACCTCCCACTAACAGAAGTTAAGTAAGTGCACTCTACAAGTGGCACTTTACATCTTACAGGAGTTTCCTGCTATTTTGTAGTTCTCCCGCTGGGCACTGCTGCCCCAAACCTCACAGTCAAGATCCTCCCCAGTTACCTCACACCCTCTCCCACAGTTACCTAGTGATTTACCACAGCTCTTTATAAAGAGACGCCTCCATAGCCCATAGGAGCTGAGAGACCCATCACTACACAGCCTTCCTACACCGCAGCAATTCTTGCAGAGGACTCCTCTTTTGAATGTTAAGTTTTACTTCCCTTGTAGGGGCTTAAGAGGTTTTGGTTTTCCAGATCACGTAAGAAATCCTATTAGGGGCCACAGCTTGAGGTGCATGTTCCAACCTCTCCAAATCAACTTGCAGGTGCCACAGAGCCACATACTCCAACTGAGAAGTACAAAGCATGCCTGCCTTTCAACAGCTTAGCCAGAAAGGGATTTAACTGAAATCAAAACATGCTTTGGTTGAGGACTAGTTTAAAAACTATGCTGCAGTATCAGTGGCATCAGATCAAAGAAAATTTAAGCTGATCCTCAACAGCTCCAGCCTTAACAGTTACATGTTGATTTGAACTTCACTTGGTACTCCCCACTGGCCATTATGCTTCTCATGAACAGCTGTGATGTCAATTGCTAAATTCCCCAGAACCAACACCCACTTCAGTTTGACATAAAACTAAGAGGGAACAGGACCTCAGTGTTGTAAGGCATCAGACAAAACCTACTCACCTGTAGGAAAAAAACCACCATCCTTTCTACTCATCTTGAACTATTTTGTGATAAGGTGAAGGGAAGACTGTCCAAATATTAGTTTAAACCACATTTTGCTTGACCCCCAGTGACATTGCAGAGTCAACTACAAAATTCCATTTCCCACACAGGAACCAGCTCAAAAAAGCATGTTGATTTCTGTTTGTGGGAAATAGGAAGGACAGTAACCTTGAAGGTCAGACTGTTAAATGTTATGCAAGTACTTATTTTAGAAGGGAAAGATTGAGGAAAACGCTTGGTTACTGCTTCAAGGTGATCCCCTTAAACAATTCCCTTGCACAACAAGAGTAGTTTGTCGTTCTGGACCTAAGAGCAACTTAAAGCAGAGTTCTCATTTACACCAAGTAAGTGTACATTGATAAACTGTGAGCTTAAACCAAAAAGCATAGTTTTAGTACCAGAGAGCTGTCAATGGAGGCTGAGTCAAAAAGGAAGATCTCTTAAAATGTCTTAAACTTGAGTTCTGCACCCAGAGAGCATCATCTCATTACTCTGACAGCTATCACATTGCTGCAATAACTCATCCTGACAGTTGTTATAAAGCCACCAAGCTGAGCAGGGGGGCTTCAGGTATACTTGGTGTTTATGAAGGGATAAAGTCCAAACCAGACTGGTAGCTGGTAGATCATCACAAGAACACAGAAGTTGCACATACTCTATTACTGCTCAGATTCTTCACAAGACTGTTGCCAGAGATCAAGTAAACACTCAAGTTTAGCAGTAAGCGGTCAGAGTTATTTATTTCCCTAAATCCCAATATTATACTGATATTAGCCTCAAATCCCCTCACTTAGGACAGTTAAAAAGGATTTATCTGCATGCTGTTAAACCAAGACTCTGGGACCCTGGGAATCACGGCAGCATTTCTAAGGCCATTAACACCAAGCAGGCATTTACTTGAGATTGGACTGCAAGAAAAAGGGAAAAAAAGGGACTTGCAGAAGCAGTTACATTTCTCAAGGCCAATAAAAACTACTAAGAAAATAGATCTGTACCAAAAGTACTCTTAAAAGACTTGCCATGTGGTTCAGTAGAGACAGGTATGAACATACGTGTACTGAATAGGGTACCCATCTACCCCCACTGACCTGTTTAAGGCAAGTTTCACACACGATGCTTGGTGTAAGCAAGCATTTGACACTTTTTGGCTTTTGGCTGCTGCAGAGAAACATGGGGAGAGAAAGCAGAGTCCTACTTTTACCACAGCAGGCACCTTAAGTGACCAAGCCCAAAGTGGCTCTAGTTCAGGAAAAAAAACGTTTAAAGCATGGACCAAGAGAATTCTACCGTGTAACTTTCAGAGCTATCTTTAGGAAAAATATGCTAAAGACTCATACTTGCTTCCACCATTCCCATAAGCATTGAAAGGCTGCTGTTCAACTCACTCTCGCAGCTAGGCTGATTTTGATCCCCAAGTCAGTCACAAGTACACTTCAGCCAACTGACATTACTTCATAATCACCAAGGTAAACAAAGATACTCAGTATGAACCAACAGCATGCCACACTCACAAAAACCACAGTTCATGCTTGCATCACAGGCTATCTGCAGGTGGTGTTGGTATGTTCTGTCTAGGACCAGCCCAACTCCCACACAGAAAAGTCTCCAGAAACCATTTTATCCAGAGGAAGCATATGGGCAGTAGCAAAACAGAAAATACTCATTTCCAGCCTTTCCCTGTCCATCCAAAAAAAGGGATAAGGATTGGTTAGGGAGTACTGTATCATAGGAATAATTATCTTCTTTTTTTTAGCAAACAAAACAGTATGGTAATAAAGATGTCATTTGGCACCTTGCAGTAGAGTTTTGTTTTCATCTTTTTAGTGTTCTACTCATCAGTTCCTTCCAGGCTAAAGAGGTAAGTTTTATGAAGATCCCCATGCACTTTCACTATGAACCCCCAATCACTCCATAGGATAAAGAAGGAACCATTCAAGATAACTCAAAAAGATGAAACATACCGCAGTTTAAACACAGAAAGTGAGAAAAAAAATGCAAATAGTTTTCAGAGCGTCTGTTCCAGCTTAAGTGCAGCTGGCATTTCAGTTAACTTGACAAAAGGAGTCCTTCATACAGTTCCAGTATGTCTAGTGGTACTGAGCATAGAAGTGCTAGACTGTCCATGAAGGTACTTCTTATTTGGTCTCTGGCTTGTCTTGCAATAGTGGTATAATTGACTCCCACGCCGTAAGGCACTGAAGAAAGAAACAAAGATTTAAAAAATGGATTGTACATCAGTTCTTGTAACTTTTGACCAACCCTTCCAGACCAACAGAATGCAAGTTCAAGAAAGGCTAGGTGGGTCTTTATAGATTATTTCAGAAGAGGGGAAAAAACCCAGAATCTCAAACAGCAAGAAAGTGTTTGGAAAGAATAGCAGCAGTTTCCAAACAAAGAAAACGAATTAAAGCTTTCCAAAGTCATCAGCTGGCCCAAGCCATTAGAAATCATCAGAATACCCAGGATTTCCAAATATCAAGATAGATTCTTCTAAACAGAAGAACACTTGGAAGACAAACTTTTTCTAGCAGAAATTCACATTTTTGTGATGTGGCTGTAGGAGAGGACTGATTTGGACACAATGGCAGTTATTATAGACTACCTCCACCAAACTTCTATGAAAAACCCATGCATTTAGGGAAGGTAGTTCAGAGACACAGTGTACTCCAGTATACGTCTGGGACTTGACTCCACTGCATGATGAATGGGTAGTACCTGGTATAGTAAAATAAAAGTGGAGTCTAGCTTCTGGGTTATTAGAAAGTCACTCCAGGCTTTGGATTCATTTTCCCAGACATGTATACTCACTCCAGTCCTTGTGCTGTGTATCATTACTGTCTTTCAACCATGTACAGCCCAGAAGTCAAACTGGTCAAATATAGACCATGGAATACATATTATTAAACATTGGGAATGAGCAAACTCATCACCGGCTCTTATAATCACAAGTCACTGTTGTGACTGTTGGACATCTTCCTTCTAATTTTGCTGATTGTACTGCAGGTGAATAGAGTATTTCTAGTTGTGTAACCTGAAGCGATTAGACACCTTCCTCGCTGCAGCTAAGAGCAAAACTAAGATGTACAGATTTAACTGTCAATTGCAGAGGCGCTGCTGGATGTTCAGTGGAGTCTTTAATACCCCCCTCTACAGCAGTCTCAGAAGAAAAGAGAGACCAGGCTGAAGGAAGTTCTGTGTGACTAGTTATGAATTACTGACAAGACAGGTATCAGAAGGGGCAAAGGAAGTGCATATTAATACTACAGGGAGAGGAAGCCTAACACAGAAGAAGTCTGTAAGGTAGATGTGGAAAAAAGCAATAGGCAAGAAGATGAAGAACGTCTCCATGCATAAGCCTAGTACTGTTTAATATATCAACCACTGCATTGGACAGCACTGTTCTAGCGTGAAGGAAAACTAGATTGGCAGCATATGCAGTTAAATGTCAAGGTCCTTTCACTTAAAAAAACAAATCTGACACTGAATCTCAGATGCACATGCACCAACTGAAAAAGGGCAGAGGTATGACTAGGTATTTCCAGGACTAGCATACAAGGGACAGAACTATGCACAAGGGGACAGAGATTAGAATAACTTACGCATACCAGGTGTAATCTATATATGGATCCATGGATGTACATTAACCCATGTAGTTTGGTTCATAAGAGGCAGAATCAAGAGATTTTCTAGTCTGGTAGTATTACCAGAACGTGCAATTTTGGTCTTTTTCATCACCACTACTGCTGCTCAGTAATTTTTTCAATTCAAGAATGCAAGACAGACAAGCATCCAGGATGAAATGCTGTTACAGGCCTGCCTTGCAAAAGACTGCTGGTCTCATGCAGATCACTTGAGCATGACCAGCAACTCAATAGATTACACTAAGCTGCTGACAAAGAGCAGCTTCCACAGCACTAGAGAACCGATCTAGATGTCCCAAGATTCTTTTCTTCAAGACAAGAATCTTCAAGCATGAAGATTTCCTGAAGAATTATCACCTCAGAGGAAAATGAACTACTCTTATTGCTGCCAATGCTCCAGCAGTGCCACATACCTTCTCGTAGTACTGGATGTTTTTATCTGCCATCCCCATGAGTAGCTGCCTAAAGTCTTGTCTTTTGTTGTTCTGCCATCTCTCCATATCTGCTTTCAGGTCAGCATTGAAACACTCTACTCGGTCTTGACATTTCTCAACATCTGTGGGTACCTGCAGCAAAAGAAATGAAGATTGAAACTGTCACTGAGAGTATGAGACTGCTGAATTAGCTCAAACCTCACTGAGCAAAGCTATAGAGGAAATGTAAATTAACACTCCAGTAGTTACTCTGAATAAACTCAGTTATGGCTTCTGGGAGAAAAGCCCCAATTCTGTATTAGTGAGGAGACGGGATTGCTTAATTTGTTCTCTGCTGTTTGAGGTGGTGGGCAGTTGTGCTTGACCATCTCCACACCAGATATGGAGGCAGACTGAGGAAGAGTTTGCTAGAGGTACATGAAGAGGAAAACCATTTGGTGTAAGTGCTGGGTGCCTAGGCTCAGTTCCTAGTTCTCAAACTGAGCAGCTTGACTACAGCTCCAGAGCAAGCTTTTTCTCCTCCTCCCCATTCACAGTTGCACTAGGCATTTCCCGATTTACACTAGTGTGTATGAAACACAAATATTTAGGCTTGTCCAAAAAGCTGGATAAGAGACCTCAGTGTTATCTCTCAACCACAGCATACAGAGAGCACTGATCAGCTATGGCTGCAGAATAAAATTTCTAAGCCTCTAGTTTCTAGCTTCCACTTTTAACCTTACAGGCTGCCTGGAAAAAATGTAAGTGCAAAGCACTGCTGATGATCACTGTGGTTTGGCTCATGGGCCTTTGGGCTCAACACTGGACACGTAATCACACATAAGCAATGGGAGAAATCTTGAAGGACAGCCTATTACAAGCCTAGGCAGATGCACTTCAGGCCAAAGAAGCTGGCGCTCTTTGCTTATGTTTTAACTAACAGCATGTATACCACCAGGCAACTACAGGAACAACTTACAAATATTTCTTCAAGCAGGAAAGCCATGAACACCTTTCCCTCCCTTCGCCGTGTGCTGCACAGTCCACACAGACAGGAAGCCTGTAAGGACATGCAGACTAAGCCCATGACCTCAGAAGAGGAAATCCCCGAGCTCTAGCACCAACATGAGAAGTGAACTTCTGCTCTGGAAGCTGTGACTTGCACAAAGGCAAAAGGCAGAATGAAGAACATTTGCAGAAGTTTGTAGTGGCTCCTCTCGTACCTGATACTTTCAAGAAATTCCCTTTTCCTTTGAGGGGCATGAAGGAAGGAAGAAGATGAGCAGACTATGCAAGAAGCTTTTCACAGGTAACAATATAGGAAGTTAGAGGTGTGCTACTACTTTGCAGTTTGGCAAGGTACACGATTTAGGCAGAAACATATCAACTCTCGTTCTTCTCCAGGTTGTGGATTAGGGCCAATCACTGAAGTATTACATTGACTAATACTCAGAGAAGGTCCTACATCTGTTCTCCAATAAAGCTGTTGGAGACAAAGGAAGCATCTTCTTCATACTCATGGGATTTGAGAGCCCCTTTATTGACACAACTGGCTTTACACCACAGGCAGCTTGGGGGTTCAGTAGCTATACACGTCCCCCACCCTCCCGGAGCACTATACTTCTGGCTACAGAATCCACTCTGCTACAACTCCAGACATGAAGTCGTCTCGTAGGCTTCAGACAAGAACTACCAAGCCAGTGGCTGGAAGGTTTAGAAGATGTTCCCCTCAAGGCAAATATGCCTTGTGTCATATTTATAAGTATTGTGCTATCTTAACGGGAAAGGCTAGGCTATCAAGAGAAAGAGTCATGAAGTCTGGAAGCAAAACCACATAAGATTTCCCAATCCAATTAATTTAGTTTCTAAGCACTCACCAGCTTCCTGCTTCTTCTGTCAGGATCTGAAACCACAATGAAGCTATTAAAGAAAAAAATCTGTTCTTTCTCACAGCCAGTTCTCGTGCAGGTCAGGCTGAGAGGGCTGTACGAGTTAGGAGCTACAGAGACAACCCAGTGGTCAGCAAATGGGTCACGTATGCTCTAATTAAGGAACAACAGCAATGAACTCCAGCTAAGTCTCCACAGGCATTATGAAAGCAGTGTCTGCACGTGCACCAGTCCTGATCAGGAGTGTAAATACCTTTCCTTCCCAAACTGCAGCTTCCCAGAACAGAAGTTGCAACTCAGTAGCTGAAACAAAATTTTAAGTTAATTAACAGCTTTTAAGCACTTTTTATCTAGTACAAGGTTAATGAAAAGACAGGTTATACTTCTAACGTAAAATTTGGACATAAGTTGAAACATCAATGCTGATGCTTTTACCTGCTTGTACCAGTGAAGATACTAAATATTAGCTAGCAACTAGGAACTAAGAAAAAAGAAGATTGGAGTTTGGGGGAAGTTGCTACTTTCTTACTGATGGCTGCTCTCAGCTACTTGGAATAGCTCAAAAAAACCCAACCCCAAAACCAAGTGACAACTGGCTCAAACTCCAATACACTCTAGAAGGGCCCATCACTGTTTTAGTGAGTTAATTTAAACTGAGAAGAGATGTATATGCAGGCAAGAACTGAGCATAAAATTGTATATTCAGGATTCTGGTCACCTCATTATACGATATGAAGTTCTGCACCTACATCTATTCCTCTTCACATAATTCTTGAAGAAACCAGAGTCCAAATATGCCTCACGTCTAGAATTTGGCGTGGTCAAGTGCAGAGGACATCACTTGCAGCATAAGCATGTCCACATTTTTACCATGTCCACTTTTTTTAAGACTCCTCTACAGCATCACTACCAAGTAACAAATGGTCCTGAAGCACAACAAATCCAGCATTTATTAGGCAACTAATCTCTGTACGTGGTACCTTCCTAGTTCTCCGGAAACATATACTGGTATAAGCCTTCTTCCCCCGCACTCCGCCCCGTAAATACATATGGTCACCTTCTACTTCAAGTTCTGCACTGCCATATTTACTGTTCCCATAGATCACCACACTGCAAAGCCTTGAGGCAGATAGAATAAGTTAGGTCATCAGAGGCGGACTTCATCTTACCAAAAGGAAACAACGCCTGCACTTCACTACTTTGGTTGGATTACTGCAAAACCAGCTCCAGCGTGGGTCAGAAATGGGTAAGAAGCACTTCACCACTGTACTTGTTAGAAACAGAAAGGCTACAGACTCTGCACTAATACTGTTATGCTAGTGTTAAAAAACACACACATACTATGCTTTTGATATAAACTTCAGCATTCTGGGCAGTATTTGCTGACAGACATTTACAGTAGCCCTACAAGCCTTCTGCATTTATAGGCCACCGAGTTCTACGCTGATCATCTCAATGTGAGAACGACCTAATGACACCAACGGAGTTCTGTGAAGCCAACCTGACTATGTGTACAGCGGGTCCCAAAATGCCCCCCAGTGGAAGAGATTAACAAGTAACGATAGGCCCTCAAAGTAGACCTTTTCTCCCTTAAGGTTTGTGTTTTTTCTTTTTGGGTTTTGTGTGGGTTTTTTTTAAACATAATTTCTGCCAAATCAGCTAAATATGCCGAAAGGAACACAAATGCTATTCACTGCATAACCCAGCTCATGATCCTCTGTCTGCTTTTAGTTTCCAGCAAGTTATAGCCAGGAGGCCTCACTGAATGTAAGATATGCTGCTAGCCACAGCTCTGAGCTACCAGCTCTTACAGATGAGGACATTCCCTCCAGGTGGAAAGGATCTGAAATCCATGAGTATTATTTTATGAACATGCAACAAGTTCTATTAGTTTGTTCAACATCATCTTGTAAATGACACAAAAGACTTACGTTAGGGAAAAAGGTACAAGGAGTTGCCAAAAGATATGCTTACACTCTGGACAGGAGACGTAAATATTCAAAAGTGCTGTGCTTTACCCAACAATCCCACTGAGAGGTGAGATGCAAAAGCCTTTTAATAGGTGAGAGATTAGCGAAGTTCAGCAGTTCCACTGCATCAAGACCTTGACAGAGTCAAATGCCTAAAAACCTCACCTGGCTTTGTGGATATGCTAGATTTAGTTCCCTCTACCCTACATACAACTTGTTATACAAAGCTACACTGAGGAAGTAAGAGTACACACCACATCAGCCAGCAGTGGGGCAGGCAAAAGACCAAAATACAAGAGTACCACAAGGTACCTAAGACACCGCTATTTTTAGAGTCCATAACAATCACAAGACCAGAAAAATACCAGTTTGCATTTCTATGCTCTGTCCTCTTCAGCTTCTTAGATTGAAGACATTATGTGAACCTTCTGTAAGATTATTGTACAGTAGTCCTAATACTGGGAAGTCATCCATTAGCTATCAACACAAGAATGAAAGGGAACCAAAAAACCTCAAGCAGAGGAAGAGAACAAAACCTGCTGTCATTGTTGGTTAAAGTTGCAGTGATTTAAGATGGGGCTCTTGCACATTGCTTCATGCAGAAAGTAGGTGGCAGCATAAGCACGCCAGTTTACAGCTTGTTCTGCATGAAGCCCAGCCAAAACGTGTCACCCAGTGACACCTGCTGTGCCTGTTCAGCATCACACAGGAAGACCTCCCTAGCAGAAGGGGCAAAACATGGAGTCTTCCACAGTCAAAACAGGTATCCTGCAACACAGTTCAGCAGTGGCAGGGCTAGGACCTTAACTCAGCTACCTGACTCACTGCTAAATCACCAGGGACTGTTCTACCACTGCTTCAGTCCCTGTCACTAAACACTTGATTGCTGGCTGTTGTTCAAATGTCACACAGGTCAGAGCCACCCTGTTTGAATGCTGGGAGATCAGTAGTACAGAAGTTGCTAGACAGGTTAAGTATGTTCACACCTAGGTCTTTATTTCACACCAGCCTGCCAACAACAAGCAATTTCTGTTCTGCCAGAAATTGCTTCTACTGCAAAAGATGCCACCAGACCCAGACAAAGCAAGTTCTGTTTCTCCATTCTTCTCCGGAAGCAATGTTAAGTGCAAGGTGTTTTTGTAGAGTAGTTTTAAGTGCTAACCTTTGGACGGTCTTCTTTTTTCAAGGCTACTGCTTCCAGTTTTGCTTCATACTCGGCTTGAACTTGGTCTCTCTTCTTCAACACATTCTATGGGCAAGAGAAAAAAGAGCTGTCAGAGGGATCCTCTCATTCGTTCCCTCCCCAGCCTGCAAGAAACTGCAAAGTGATACAGCTTAAGTGCTAATTCAGTCCATAGCTGGACTTTCAGACTTACTTTGTCCTATTTTACAGTATTTAAGGAATAGCTTTTAAAAACAAAGAGCACTTGCTCTCCAGCAGCTGGCAGAGTCAGATAAAATTCAACTTTCGGACAAGCTGAAGGCATGCAAGATAGAAGCTGTCATGTAACCACGCATATAACCCCGACCAAATTCAATTAATCCGTTGACCTATTATTAGCTTGAAAAGGATATAAACAAAAGCATCAAAGGACTAGCTTTTGATATCCTCAAGCAGCACACAGACAACAGCGTGGGCTAAGAGTCAGGAAGGCCACCACAGAAGGTGGTGAATCTCCCTTTTCACTTGCAAAGACTCCTTGAAGTCCTTTACAGCAAGCTGTTACATTCTTGTGTTAGAACAAAAGTAAGCTTTGCTTTTAGATCAGTTTGGAGGGTTTGGCTGTTGGTTTAATTTAATTTTAATTAAAGTTATGAAAAGCGCAATTACGTGAAAAGCACTGCACTACCTGAGTGAGTTTCACAAGCAGTAAACATTTTATTGACAGAGTATTCTCAGAATAGAGAGCAAAAGATGCTATCCTTATCTTGTACTACATCCACAAGCCAAAATCTCCACTAAGGTTATACTACAGTCTTACAATTTAAAAACAACCACAGAAATTAGTCTTTTTAAGAATACACTACTAAAAAGTAAGCAGTTCTGTGTCTGCAAGAGCGGGCAACTTACTTCTTCAGTCTTCACAAGGAAACAACTAGTAATTTTTTGTAACTCAGTTGATGCAAAGTTATTATTTAAAATGCTCAGAGGGAAGCTGGCCAACACTCACTGCTGAGGCACGTGTAAATTTGAACTCCTCTTGCAGCCAACTTGCCAGTTCATGCTTCCAGTCTTCCCTTCTGCCACCCAGAAGGAATTACCCCATTAGGACAAAAGGTTACTAGTCATTTTAACAGTTTCAGACAAGCCTAGGAAAGCAGGACTAGTCATGTGCACTGCTGCCTACAGAAATGTCTGTTTAAAAGAGTAGTTCTCAGAGCTCTAAGAGCCAGTCTACCAAGATCTGTTTCCTAATTAAAGATGTACAAACCCTATATCTAGTAATCATTATCTTCCCCCTCCTCCCTCTTAAGCCAAGGGAAGGTCACCAGTGCAGCTGCTCTAGAGTAGAGACAGGAGACATTGCAATTAATAGTCTTAGAAACCGCAGTGCATGATAAATAGTAATAGCACCCCATCCACAAAGTTGCTATTGGTTTAGGCAGAAAAAAGGGGGCAAAACTGAAAAATTCACCTTCAACAGCTTAACTGTCCCTTTTGTCCCCAAAGGGATGCAAGCAAGCATGCCATTGCCTGTGTTTGCTTGAAAAACCACAACATTCCCATTCCTTTTGGAATCTAAGCAACTATGTGGAATAGCCCTTAAGTGATTGAGGTTACCAATGCAACGAAAGCCTGAGAGATTTAATAGGTATTTCTACTTTGTATTGCCTCTCCAACCGGAGTCAACTGAAATTTCTTCTCAGAAAAACAACTGCCTCCAGCAATTGCATTCAGCCTTCAGGAGCCTGGCATTAGTGCAATAAGCTGGATCTGTACCAGTAGCCAATGATTAACAGGTATCAGCAGACTAGATTCAAAGGGCAGGTGTCTTATTTCTCCTTAAGTGCTCAAGTCCATCCGCTGTGGACAATTAACAATGTGCTTCTGAATACAACTTTAAGTATCCATTAATGGTTGACCTATAAGCGATGAGAAAAATATTGCCCTCCCTTTCACTTGTCCCAAATGTGAAAGGAAGCGTTTCCTCTGGCACCTCCAGGCGATCTCTTCTCAGTTGTAGATCAACACATTAATGCTTCAGCAGCTCCTCCAAAAAGCTCTGTAGCAAGTATCCCCAGACTTACCACAGCCCATGCAGTACTTCCGCTAGTTAAGGCCTCACTTAGAGAGAAAAAAATTTTAAAAATACAAATTAAAAAAAAAAAAATTTAAAAAAAGTTGGAAGAAACTAACACCAAACAGAAAAAACACACACACCACATTTCAGTTATCTGGGGACTGAACTAAACCACTGGTCCCTGCATAAGCAACACTTAGCTTGCTTTCAGTGAGGCAGGTGCTTCTCCATTTTGTATTTAGTTGAAACTTTCACCTTGGCCCGTATCTCTGAAGCAGCTTCAGTTTGCCATCAGCCTCCTTTCTCAAATTGCAGTCCTATGCCTTTTGCACACCACATAGCTTCCTGTTACGACTAGACCTCACAAGAGGATCCTTATTTACTGCATACCTTTAGAGAGACAGTTAGTTATTCACGTGGTGCTTGCTTTAAACATGCATTAAAAGTAATGTCCAAGCACACAGCTGGGGATCACATAATCTGATAAGCCCTTCTGGCAGCGTTAAGCATACAGAGTTCATATAACTTTAGTATCAGCACTGAATTACATAGAGTGGAGTTTCGTCCTCTGCACTTGCCCCCCAGCGGAACACCAGCATGCTGCACAAAATGTGGTGCCACACGTTTGCTGACAAGGGCCTCACTGCACCAGGATTCGAGACATCGCCTGGCCATCTCATGCATGGCCTGCGTTTCAGAAACAGTCTCTCCTAGACACTACCAGCACACATTTTAACTCAAGCCCACAACGCCGGCCTCTCCACACTTCTGCACATCTTTCAAACGAAACCAGAGACAGGGCTTCCCTGGAGTCAGGCAGTATTTGTTTCAACCAGAACTACTGGGCTTTGTCTCTGTATGTGCTGTTCCCTCAGGCTGCCCCTCCAGGTCTAACAGTGCTCCTGAAGACACTAAGGTGAACATTCGTCTCTAAAACAGTGAGGATAACCTGGCAGTTCTTACCCTGAGGGACATTCAACTACCTAAAGATCGCTCTACAAATCAAGTTCCCATACCTATACCTGGGGTACAGTGTGCAACAGAGAAAGCTACCAAGGTTGCACTGAACTCCTAGTACCTAAAGACTTACCTTCCATCAAGTGCCCTTTTCAAAAGCTGTGCTCTGAAAGATCAAAACAGACTTTAATTTCACAAGCAGGCCCCAGAGCAGCTGATGAATAGGACTGCACTGCTAGTGAAGAGGACAGCCCTTTCAGCAGAAAGCCTTCTGCACTCCAAGAGTAGCCTCCTTTACAGTTACTTACTCAGTTTTATGGAGTTTGGGAAGACAATTCTGTAGTTGCTTACTGCAGGAATAGCAACAAACTGGTATTTTCTAGAATAAGAAAACTGCACTTGGTATGACCTGAGAGATTTCCATTTTGGTATTTGGGAGGAAAGGAAAATAGGAACAGTCTGCCTTGGCTAGCAATAATTTTTATTCTTGATTTTCAGACAGAGTAAAGTTAATGAGATGCCCAAGCTGGACACTAAGTAGCATAATCCTTATTTGCTATTAACTGCTATATTGCAAGTATGGTTTCTAAATCCAGTCAGTTCCAAAGCACCAACACAATGTGTATGTTCAGTCTATCACCAGAGAATAACTAACAGGAAGAGTGAATCCTTTAGGGCACTAGAAAGTCAAGTCAACAGTCTAAAAATTAAGCTAAAAAGCAAGGGTTTCTTCAGCTGAAGAGGTACTTCAGGCAGTTAAACACCACTTAGCGCAGGGAGAGCGGCAATAAAGACTTGCAGGTAGACTACCTGTTGGCTTGGAGACAGCCCCATTCTAAAAGGGCTCTTGTCAGATGACGGCAAAGACACTAAGTGCAGTCTCCAAGCCAACACGTAGTCTAGCTGCAAGTCTTTAATGCCGTCCCCTCTGCACTGAGTGGTGTTTAACTGCCTGAAGTACCTCTTCAGCTGAGGAAACCCTTGCTTTTTAGCTTGAAAAAATTTTTCCCCTGCTACATTTGTGAAAAGCGCCTCTCACAACCCAGCTTTCCACTTCAGATGCCATCTCCAGTAGGTCATGGCATTTGTAGCATCAAAAGCCAGATGTTCTGGCCTAAAAGCTTTAACCACTAGCCTCATGCTCTGTTTATTTGTAAGTACACCCCCCCCACCTTCCTACAGAATAAGGATAAGTCTGAACACCCTGGGTCAAGGTTTCCAACTACAGCACAGGGTGTTCCAGCAATACTTGGGTGTTAATAGTCCTGTCAAGAAAATGCACCTCGTTTATGCTGGGGTTAATACCATGACTATGAAAGCAAAGAGTATACTCAGGGAATTAGTGCAAAGCCTTCTGTAGGAAGGCAAGACAGGAGCTATAAAACTAGCCATTTGAAGCTGGGAAAAGAAGTCTGCAAGTGAGTGTTTCAATTCTCAGTTTGAGAAGTACAGGATGACTAAGATTAAGATGGAGAAGGACTACCATGTTCAGACTGTAGGTTTACAACAGGCTATTAGATCTCTAAATGAGTGCATACCATAGCCTTGTAACAGTTGTTCCAAGTGGAAAGTCCTCAGAAGGAATTTGTCTGTTAGTACTGTATAGAGGGACTGGTAATATATACTGTACCATGGGTATGTGGTGAAAAGCTCTAACAGCCGAACTAGAGCCCTTGGTTTCAGTTTTCTGTGCAGCTAACTTAGTAATTCTTTTCCCCATGCAATCGGATTGACTACCAATGCTCCTTAAATTCAAGACAGTAAAAACTGCATCAAAGTAGCTTTTATTCCTTCTGCATAAGCAGTAAGATATCAAGTTCTTCGAGAGATTAAGAGTCACAGAATAACATCTTTAAGCAGTTACTTGGTATGCAGTACTTACCGAACTTTACAACAGACACATCCTGCGTAGGGTATGGGGATGAGAGAGGAAGCAGGGTCTGTCATTTGGACACATGGTTCTAAAAGGAGCTACCCAATCCTGCTACACAGAAGTGACAGAAACTGCTAATGCTACCTTTTCTGCAGGGCCAGACACTGACCCAGTAGCGAAGGGCTGAGTCACAACTGACTTTCTAACAACTCAGAGAAAATTCTAGGCAGCCACAGCCTACAGCATACCACCTGCCATTCTGATGAAGGAGCAACTCTTCAACACTGTGTGCACCCTAGCATTGCTGACCTTAGCTTGACTGAATAGCAGAGCAGATAGATAATGCTACCCATGCAGTACCCTGCTACTAAACATACCTAGTTTTGTTTTGATTATGAAAACATCCTCCTACTTAATGTATTATTTACTCCCCCACTTTTCCCACCACCAACGCTTCTCGCTGTTAGAAAGAATGAACTCGCTGATATATCATTCCATGCAAACACAATGACAGCATCTTCTGTCACAGGGCTCTCTTTACCTTCATCGACTCCGAGTACAATATATATTCCCTAAGCACAGGCAGGAAGTCTTCTGTCATGTCTTCACTGAGTTCTTCAAGAGCTGTGCAGCAGTTCCCAATACAGGCGGACACCCCTTCCAGCGGCTCTGATAGCTCAACCTCCAGCCCTCCCCAGGTTGAATAAACAGGTCCATATTCTCGTAGTTCCACCAAGTATTCTGCAAGAGGCAGATGGAAAAGTAGATTAATGGAGCAAGAGCGAGGCACAAGGATCTGCAAACACTCATACCAAAGAGGAGAAACTATGCACCAACCTCAGCAAACATTAACTCCCCCAGGAGTCTTGTGTTGCATTAGCATCTTAATAGACAGAGCTATATAACTGCACAGGTGACAGCTCCAAGTTGCCTCCTGCTTAACTGACCATTCCTACACGCTTCTAATACAAGGGCACTTGCATCTGTACAGTAGCCAAAGTCTTTTTTTTTTAAACATACGTAAATCTTGGCTCTGCTAAGACAGGTCTGTAAAGGTTATCTTCATCTAGGAATTCCATCTCTACTCCTCCAGATGGAATCCACAGGTTTTTCCCCCTCCCAAAAGTCTTTCCAAAAATAACTCTAGTAAGAAGGTAGTTTGGTATAACAACAAGAGCAACTTTAAAAAATATTTGGAGAGTTGAGCTAAGATAAGATACTGTTTTATTTTTGGGCCTGTTTTAAGTCTGCAAGAGGCATTAGATTTTGCTCTGTGTATGGCTCATTACATGCCAGAATCAGACGCAAGTTATCTTGGTCATGCCATCAACGAGCACAAGATACAGAGCACTCAGACTGAAGTATTATGATAAAGCACCTTATGTCCTTACCCAACTGTTCCTTGATAATCCGTTGTGCTATTCTGTCAATGGTACCAAGCTTTAGAGAAAATGTGTCTAGATACTCCCCAATGGCTGCAAACTCCAGTGGCCGACTTCTTAATTTGTAGCCTCCTGTGACATATTTGACAGACTCCCCCATCTTTGACAGCAATGCCATTCCTTGCTTTTTGTAGGCATTAAGATCCTAGCAAGTTTAAAAAAAAAAAAAAAAAACAGTTTAGAAACATTTCACTTGCATGTTGGAAGATTAATACAGTGAAGGATACTTTCAAGTCAAAATCAAATCTTGTGAAGGCAAGAGATTACGTGTGACATGTAGCCTTGGACAAAACCTCACTTTGTAGAAGTTGTACAGCTGAGCACAGTTTCAAGATGGAGAAAAGCTATTCAGGACAATGGTATGAAGTACATTATAAATGAGTAAGTGGTCCACCTTTGCACTATCAAAACATGGCCAGACTTTCCCATGTTCTTGTACTGTCACCAGGGAAGTAGTGATATTAACAGCTCTATTTTCACAGAGTACTGTTCATGCCATTCATCCACACATACTTTTAAGTCATAGCCCACACCACCAGTATTATGCAAATACACCAGCTGGCTCTGATGGCCTAGTACAGAGCTACATATTGCATGCCTATTTGGCCAGCAGCCTCTTCACACCAGTTGTGTGGTCAGACAGGAGGCAGGGGAAACTGTACGCAGAAAAAGCGCAGCATGGGGAGATCAGCACAGCTCTTCTGCAAGACAGACTGCAGCTCAGGCTGGCTCAGATGTAGCCATGTTGCCTGCACAGAAAGGTTAAACTTCCTTGCCAGCGCTTTACATGTTTGCATAAATCAACATTCAGACAACCTATGTTAACAAGGTTGTTTACCTACAATCTTCAGGGGATTTCACCTTGACAGCACATCAGAAAAAAACTGGTTTTAGTTAGCCAAAACGCCGTCCATTTTGCATTTTACTCCTTCCAGCAGGGGTCACTATTCAACATCTCAAAACAGGCTTAAGAGCTATAACTAGGTTATCCTACGCAGCCTGAGGAAGAGATGTTTTCAAACCAAGTAGACCTGTAGAGGTCAAGAATCAAGACAAAGTATTACAGACTAGACTAAAAGCTTCAGTGTTCTTTAAAAAAAGAATACAACAGCCATCCTCAAAACCTGTGCTATGGTATTCTTCCCAAGTACTTATACATAAGTCAAACATAGGCCTGGTTAAGAGAACCTGACATCTTAGCAGCTACTATAATTTTAAATTATCTTTGCACGTAATGCGGTGGTTCCTTGACTCTTGCGTTCCGCCTGTCCTAAGCCCTACCTGCAAGCAGGCATCAGAAAAAGACCCTTTAACGCAAAATTATTCACTCACTCTCTCAAGCATTCTGGTGTGTTACTAGTCCAAACAGGGAACTTGAAGAAAGGTTGGTTTCTCTTTTTTGAGAGGTGGTCTCATGACTTTCTGCAGTAAATAAATTCTGAAGTCCTAGCACAGTGAACTGCTGCAATACGGCAAGTTCCAACACCAGAGACAGCCAGAAGAACACATGTCCTTTTCCCTCCCTGCTCCCTGGATGCTCTGTATTCTCAAGGCAAGCCCTGCCCAGGGCTGAGGATAAAGCCCTTACCATTCATTTTACAGGGGTAGGAGAAGACAACTAAGCAGCTAAGAGTTGCATCATGCTTTGACAGCTGAAAAGCAGAACAAAGCTATCTGACATTTAACTACCACGGTGCTAAAAAAATTCTGCATTTCTGGCTTGTTTCAGCAGTTAAGTTCACCATGGAGGGGAAATAAAAGGGAACTGGAGATTGAGTCTCACATTACCAACAAGCAGGGTACAAGCCTGAAGTGAGCTCAAATTAAGTGTCACATTTGAGTGAGCTAGCATAATGTGACATTGGAAATACGTGCTTTTTCAGCTCTCCTCACTTATCAGGTCAAACCCAAGCTGTAGATCCTCACAGCCTTATTTAAAATGCAGTTCAAAAGACAGCCAATCAAAATTGCACTGTTGCTGGATGAGTCATGCAGAAGATGAGCATGAAGTTGTTGACCAAGAACAAACAAGAATGAGGTCTTCACGCTTAGTTTTGAGGGCAACAAGTGCAAGCAGTATAGAAGGCACAGACAAGAAAAAAGCCAAGAAATTTGCAAGCTTTTGTGCAAGAGAGATCTCTCCTCCTCCTCCACTTCCCTCCTCCCCAAAAGAGGATTTCACAAACACTACCATTTTCTAAATTCTGAACTCTCTTGCATCAGAGGAGTATGGTCTAGACACAAGGATACAAAAACAAACAGGTCTGGAGAACTGAATTTATGAATCTGCAGACCACCCCTCCCTTCAAGCAAAGGGAACCCATATGGTTGTCACACACAAGGGTCTGTCACACACAACATTCAGGGTCCCCAACAACGCTCTGGTATTTTAGGGAAAGTTCTGACCTGCACATGTGGTTTTATTAATGCCTTTTAACCTTCATTTCAAAAGAGACTGCAAAGGTGCCTGTCTGTTGTCCCTGTCAATGACTGTGTTTGGAAGTTACTGGCTTACCTTGGCTGTGAGAAACACGTTGAAATGCTCATTAAAAGAAAGCACCGGGTGATCAGTTATTCTCTTCAAGAATTTGTCTAACGCTTTCCTCCTTGTCTCCACGAACTCTTCAGAAAAGCGATCGACAACACCCTTCACCACAAATTTCTCAGGAAGAGGCTGCCAGAGACAAGCAAAATGCACAAGATTCAAAAGAGGAAAAACTTGCTTCTGCTATTTGGAAACATACAAAGCAATCAAATTCCAGTCTTAACAGGAACTGAAATGTTATGTTTGCTAACGGGAACCATACATCAGATGGGATGCAAGCCCTGCTCTAAATTACCTGTTAGCTGGTCTGGCCTAATGCAACAACTCTACTGAGTGGCTTCAGCCGAGAGCCACACCAGTGAAGCCCAGACAGTACTCACACTAAGTACTTCCAGCATAGCCTTGGGTGTTCCTCCCTACTGCTATCCATGGTCTAGCTCTGGCTCTAAAGGAGATACCAGCGGAGCTGCGCACTATTCACTACAGCAATGTGCACACACACACCCCGATGTTGAAGCAAGGCTGCTCAGTCCAAGGAAACTCAGAAAATTTAGCAGTTCTACTTACTCTTTTCCCCTCCGTTCTGAACTATTTAGAGCTCCTGGACAGGGCCATTCTGTGGAGAGCTGATAGCCTCAATGATAGCACCACACTGAGCAAAGATAGACGAGCAGGCTTGACACAGCAAATGGCCGAGTAGTCCACACTGGCACCTTCCTGAAGCACTTGCACACTCAGTCATCTATCATAGCCAACATTCCTGAGCACGTTTGTGTAAGTGACAAAGGTTTGCCAACATATCTACTCTTTCATCTTACTCCTATTTCGACTCCGCCAGTTCATCTCTGCAGTTCAGCTTAACATGTAAGCCCAAGTCTGCCTCCAGACTTGCTAGTTCTGCAGTCCCTCCTGTTACACTTAGACTCCAGACTGCAAAGTACTGCTTCAGATGGCAGATAACTCTTTAAGCTTCAACATGGTTAGTCTCAGCTCTACCGCTAGATCTGCTTTTGTTCTCGCTGGAGAGCATGGACTCTAAGATTAATATCAGTTTTAAAATTGTGCTTTGCATTTTATTCTTGTGAAACAGTCCACCCAGACAGATAATCTGTTTACTCTTAGGCTAGCAATGACAGCCATTTTCACCCAATTCAGGAATCGGGATTCTCTTCAGAGTCTTTGTCACCTGAAATCCGTAACGAAAGTAATTCAAAGAAACAAAAAAATTGTGTATGCATATGGCTTTCCCACCACACCCTAGCTGATGTGGCATGCAGATGAAGATTGCATCTCCCAAAAAAACCCAGCCAGCACAACTTAGCTGCAACACAGCTATATTTTGACCACTATATTTAAGTGGTCTTAATAATTTAGGACTTACTATGCTTAGCATTCAGATCAGTCATTCTCGTTAAACCAGTGTAAGGTACACTCTAATTAGACTTCTTCAGAAGAATAATGCTTAGTGAAGTAGTCTTCAGGGAGGAAAAACCTCTCTTCCCTTGCTTTGTAAACTTTAGCTGGGACTCTATATTTTAGGAAGCCTCCACCTCAGCACCATGTGCAGGAGGAAAAGGACAAGCTGGAAGACGAGTTTAAGGCACTAGGGTTCAACCAAACACGTGCAAACTGGCACTTAAGTCATATGCTCATGATACATTAAGTCATGAATAATCACTTAAGTTTGAGCATTTGAGACCCACAGAAAGGTGCACCTCTATTACAGGCACTTCTGCCATTTAACCTGGTTTTAGCTATAGCAGTAGTTATAGTCCTTTACATTTTAGGCCTTTGGAGGTCCATCCCAAGTAGTCAGCACACACAGCTAGCAACTGATATCCTGCTTTAACTGTGCGTTACTTATCTACCTTATAGTCTTCCAGCTTAATAGCCTACTTTTCCCTGCTGTGACGTGAGCAGAGTTCACTGCAGTCAGAAATGGCTTCAAGTATCCAAACATCACCAGCCAAAGACAAGATCCTTGGTCATACTAGGCTTCTCTTTCCAGTCTGGAGACAGATCTGAGAGCAGACTCTATTGTTTGAAAGAACAGATTAGAATAGGTCTCAGATCATTTTTAAAAAAGTAAGCCATATTCATATTCACCCCATGAAAAGGAACCCATATTCAGTTTAGTTTGGGCTTCTAAGTGCAGACTATCATGACTCACTGCACTGAGAAGACACATCATTTGTTACAGGAAGATTTTAGGCAGAGTCACTATACCAAGATTAGGAAGACAACCCCCTTTCAGTATTTTGTTAGACAGAAGGCCTCCAGGGATTGCAGTTATCTCCAGTTACAAATACAGATACTCTTAGATTGGCTTGAAACATCCTTTCAGAACACACTTGAGTCACAGTGCACCTGAAACTGCCTTTAGCTTTTATTCCCCATCTACTTCTAGGCAATAAATACATAATGCGTTCAGCAATCTCCCCACCATACCACTGCATGGAGGAGATTAATAGGGACTTCCGTAACTGCTAACTTGTGCATAAACAGATAAAAGAGGGCAGCGCACCCTCATGCTTCCAGGTTTTCTAGAAGAGAGGCACTTAAGAGATTGCCTTGTTCTGCAGCCAGTTTTATGCCCAGTATTAGAGCAACTTGTGCCAAATGTGCTGTTCTGTGTGCAACAAATTCCAGGTCACAACAAAGCAGTTTGATTCCCTGGCTGTGACTCACCTTCTGCTACTAGACTATTATTTATTGCCTTGCAGCCTTCAGGCAGGACTGGCAGCCTGTTAGTACACTCAAGAATCTGTAGAAGCTTAACCTCAATAGTTCCAGCTGTTCAGAGAACAGGGAGGGAGAAAAGAGGGTCTAACACATTAATCCCAGCAAGCTCACTCTCTCTTCTCTTCTCCCCACCCCTTAGTAAACATATTTGCCGCCAGTTAGCAGCGTCATATGATTTTGTGAAGTATTTCTTATCTTTGAGAGACTGAGCTATTATTCCACTTAGAGGCAAGTCCCAGAGAAATTAAGGACTTAAATAGCTCTCTACCCTCAAACAGCCTAACTGAACACTTCTCACATAGCCCAGTCCTTGCTGAGGGAGGGAGAACAGAGAAACTTCCCCCCCATCCCAGATGGACAAGCTAAGGTATGCTAGCAGTGTTGCTATTTCCCAACAATTCAACTCCTACAGGCCTTTTTGAATTTCTTTCTTCAAAAGAGCTGATGGTGGTGATTTCACAGCCTTCCTACCTTTTCACATCTTCTACAGCATGAAAAACAGACTGCCTCTTCATATCACATAGGGTGGTCAGACTGCCAGCCTCAGCGACAAGAAGGGATGAAGTAGTTTAGCTAACCTCTTTAGCTAAACTTCTGCCTACTGAAGGCATCCAATAGCTACCAAGCCAGGGGCTAAGATTTGTAAGTCTGTGCTATTAAGTGTTAGCACAAATAGTTTTAAAATACTCTTTTTAAAACCAGCTCAAAAGGCCATCTTGAAAACAGACTGAGACTAGGACCTGAAGTACCTGTGTGGCTTTTCATAAGCCATCTCAATGTAATAATTGAGCAAAAGCGTATTCCATTTATACTACAATAAATGTAATCACTGTGCATATTGCCCTACAGGAGGCTGCAAAAGCTCACCTCTCAGATGTGCCACCTAAGAAAAGTCTAAGCTTCATAATCAGTCAAGAATGGGAGGCTCTTCCG